TTTTACGTTTTATATTAAATTAAAGTCACGCCAAAACGTTTTATTTACAAACCAAATTAAAAAATAGTTAAACTAAATAACATTAAACTTTTTATTAAAGTAAGTGTTCGATATGCCCACCATTTTCTCCAATTCATTTGTCAATACATTACATAAAATATCGTCTCATACCATCATTGTTTCTAAAGAAACGGCTGCAGTATTTATTATTAGTATTCTATCTATCTAATTAGCCTTCTTAGGTCCATCCTTGGACATAGGCCTCCCTAATCCTTTTCCATTCTTCTCTGTCTGTCGCTACAGTCATCCACCTAGAGCCCACGTGTTTCTTGATATCATCTGCCCATCTCATTTGAGGCCTTCATCTGCTTCGTTTATATTCCCACGGTATCCAACTTATAAGAATTTTGCTCCATCGGTCTTCTTTTTGTCTTATATTGTGTCCAGCAAATCTCCATTTCAATTTTGCAACTTCTTGTCTAACATCCCTCACTTTGGTTTTCTCTCTTATCTACTTGTTTCTCTTTTTATACATTAGTCTTATGTGCAATATTTGTCTTTCCATTGCTCTTTGAGTTTTTATGACTTTGTCCATGTTTGCTTTTGTAAATGTCCAGGTTTGGGAACCATAAGTAAGAACAGGGAGTACGCATTGATTGTATACTTTGGACTTAAGATGCTGTGGATATCTTTTGTTTTTAAAAATGTAGCTTAGTTTGCCAAATGCCGCCCATGCCAGTTTAACTCGTCTTTTTATCTCTGCTATTTGGATCTCTTTGTTAAGTTTTATAGTTTGACCCAGATATATATAAATATATATATATATATATATATATATAATATATATATATATATATATATATATATATATGATCCTGAACTTGTTCTACTTCATCTTGCCCGATTCTTATTGTGATGTCTTCATCTGTATTTGTTATGGTTTTGGTCTTGCTGTAATTCATATTAAGGCCTATCTTTCCAGCTTCTACGTCCAGTTCTTTTATCATTTCAAATATTTCTTCTTTTTTATCGGTTATTAATACGATGTCATCAGCATACCTTAGATGGTTTAAGGTTCCCATTCTAATCTTTTAAAAGTATCTTCAAGAGCCTGATTGAAAAGTTTCGGTGATATTGTGTCACCCTGTCTCACGCCTCTATTTATTTGTATTGATTTTGTTCCTTCATATACTTTAATTGTTGTTTTGGCTTCCTTATACATTGGCTATTAGTTCCGTCTATATGTGGTCAATTCTGCTGTTAATCAAAGAACTTTTCACTGTCCAATGTTCGACACTGTCGAAAGCCTTTTCAAAATCTATGAACGCCATATATAGAGGAATGTGGTATTCATTTGCTCGTTCTATAAGTATTTTCATACTTAGTAAATGGTCACTTGTGCTGAATTCCTTTCTAAAACCAGCTTGTTCTTTCGACTGGTATCCGTCGAATTTTGTCGTCAATTTATTGGTTAAAATTTTTTTTAGGAGTTTATACATTACATTTAGGAGTGTTATACGAAGGTATCTTTTTATATCTGCTTTATCCTTTTTCTTCTGTAGGATAATGGTTACTGATTCCTTCCAGTTGTTTGGGATTCTTTTTTCTTTTAATATCTTGTTAAACAGGGAATTTAGAGTATTAATTATCACTTTTCCACCATATTTCCGCATCTCTGCAGTTATTCCATCTTTTCCAGGCGATTTGTTGTTTTTCATTTCTTTCAATGCCTTCTTTATTTCTGATTTGCTTATTTCTGGCTGTAGCTCTGAGTTGACATTTTTTATTTTAACCTTAAGTTGGTTTTTAATTTCTTCTTGTGGTTCCTTTTTTTGTTTTATATAATTCTGAGTAGAAATGGTGGATTATATTTATGATGTCATCTTTAACGTTAGTTTCTACTCCATTTACATCTTTTATTTGGTTTATTTTAAATTTACCTAATTTCTGCCTTAAGCATATCATATTTTTGTTGTTCTGTATTACTTCTTTTATTTTTATTTCTTGTTCTTTTCTCTTATTTTCTTTTATCATTCTGCTTATTGTTTTATTGATTTCTACATATTCTATAGATTTCCTTTTGCCTTCTTCGTTCAGCTTCCTTCTTTTATGCATACGCTTCATTGTTTCTGTTGTTATATAGTTGTTCTTTTTTAGATCCTTTTTTGCTATTTCTTTTCCTGATGTAATCATCGTTGCTGTAAGTATGTTGTCTATTTCGTCTATATCTTTATCATCACTGTCTAATTTTTGGGTAAGTTGTTCTTTTAATAGGTCTTTGTATATCTCTTTATATTGCCCTAGTTTGTTTCTATCTACTAGATCCCAGTTTCTACTTATTTTTCTCTTCATTTCATAGTCACCGTCAATACTAATTTTTGCTCTGACCATCATGTGATCGCTACTTGTTGTGAATCTGTTAAGAACTGTTACATTTTTAATGATATATCGTTCCGTGGACAGTCAATCTCATTTTTTGTGGATCCATTAGGGCTGATCCATGTCCATATTCGTTGGGGTTCTTTTTGTAAAAGGAGTTCATTGCGTATAGATGCTTTTCTTCTAGATCTAGATAGTTCATCAAAGTAGCATCTCTATCATTTCTCTGACCATACCCGAAATCTCCTATGATAGTTTCTTCTTTGTTTAGTTTTCTACCCAGTTTGGCATTGAAATCTCCATTTACTAGTGTAAGACGATTTTTATGTTCTTCCATAGCCTTTGATATATCTTCATAAAATAGTTCAATATCTTCTTCAATATAAGCTGTCGTGGGGGCATATACCTGGATAATTTTAATTGATGTTCTTCTTATTTTAAGTATGACATAGGCGACACGATCTTATATACCTTTGATAATTTGGATATGCTTACTTATAGCTTTATTTATTATGAATCCTACTCCAAATTTACTATTCGTTTCATTTCCTTTATAATATAATAGATTACCGGATTTTAGCTGTATTCGGTTTTCTTATTTTCGTCGAGTTTCTGATAGGCCTATGATATCCCATTTTATGTTTGTTAATTCTTCTTCCAGTTCATGTACTTTTTTATCTGTGAACATTGATCTAATATTGTATGTTCTATTGACAGCTTGACGGATTTTTTTGATTTATGTTGTGCTCGTCTTAGTGGGTTTTTGTTTTTACCTATCAAAAGCGAATTATTGCCTCCCTCAGATACCGTGAGACAGACCTTTGAGGTGTGGGATTCAGAAATTCTTTTACCCAGCTGGGGACCATTTCCTTTTGTTTTATTATTCGCTATGATAAAAGTGGGGAGGGGGGTAACGGCAGTTAAAACACCACGCTTGCCAGGCGGGTTGGTGAGTGAGTTATAAGCTGCCCATTCTGGGTCAGACGCTGTTGGTAGCCGTCCACTCTGGATCAGAAGCTACATTTAATTTTATACTAACCCTAAAATTGGAGTGCCACTTCCGCCATACACACCGTACCGAAGATGTTCTAGTAAGTATTATAAGTATAATAACAAGAATTATTTTGGGATTTTTATGAATTAAATAATTATATTATTATCTTACCACAAGACCAAGGAATATGAATACCACGAACAATCCAACGTTCAGGAAAGTTGTATTTAAGTATGTTTTCACTGCCCCCTCTCTATGTGGTGATGTACCATCTTGCATAAACCACATACTTCGCCTAAAGTTTGATAACAATTCTTCCAATAAATCAATAAAATCATTTTATAAAAAATGTAAATAAATATCACCATTAAAATTACAAGGTAATTCGCATGTCCGTAAAAAATAATTACCAATGGTTCAAAACCATCCGTTTATTTAAGATTCATGTTTAAAATACATGTCCTGGTACAGAAAACGGTGGACAAATCGAACACTTACTTGACAAAAAGTTTAATATTATTTAGTGTAACTATTTCTTAATTTGGTTTGTATATAAAATGTTTTGATTATGGCTTTAATTTAATGGCTTGAATACAAAACATAAAATGTTTTCCACTCTACTTCTGACTGAACTCACAGCACCATTGGGAATGGTAATGGTATGTGCGTGTTTTATCCACAAAAACATTCATAAAGCTACTCGGACTACTAACAATCTTATAAGAACAAAACTTCTAACTGATAGCGACCACTGATAGTGGTCCTAATTTAATAAAGAAAAAGTATTATATGAAATAAAAATAAAAAAAGACAAAAAAAAAGAAAAGTATTATCTGAAATGGGGGCACTGAAATATACTAACAAAAGGCACAAAAGCTCTCAGGCCAGATTAAAATAGCAGTTGAAATAATCAAAATGATCAACGAAGAACATATAAAAGTGCTGGTAGATTTGTATAACTCTATGTATAACTGGAACTATTCCTAAAAAATGAGTAAAGTATACTTTCATCGCAAGATCCAAAAAATCAAATTCAAGAGAATGCTCTGACAATTGAAGCGATTAGGATCATAAATCACACCATCAAAATTAAAAAAAAAATTATTTATAACAGAATCTATCGAATACTGGAACAATAAATGAGCGAGAAACAATTTGGCTTCACGAATACTCTTGGAACAAGAAAATCCTTATTTGCCATGAATGAAGAATCCATGACGATGCCATGAATCAGCTGATATGTCTGCCTTTTGGACTACAAGAATGCATTCGATTATATCAGACACAACCGCCTTATACAACTACTACAACGAAAGAATTTGCATACAAAAAATTAGAATTATTACGGAACTTATTATAATCAACTAGCCGCAGGGAAAGAGATGATAAAATCGAGGACTTGTATTAATTCCCTCCTCTCCTGCTGCTGAATAAAATAAGAAAACGTGAGTAAATAAAACAAGTGTTATGTAATTATGATTTGCTCAAAGTTCTTCTTTCGGATACCACGCAGTAGTAGGTAGTTAACATTTTAAATGAGCCTATTAGTATAATTAAATCGCTTACGTTATATTAACTCAGATATATTGTACAACTATAGATATATTAATAGTTTTAATTAACTTACTTTGTAGCTGTAGCGATATTAAACACAGGCTTTAACATTCCACAGTGTTTGGCTTCGTCAATCCATTCACGCATTATTTTAAATGGTGAGGTATTTGGTGGGACCTCCATACAAGCAAGTCCCATTTCATGAGAGGCCATATTAGAAGTATTTTTTGTTCTATTTAAGTTTCAATAATACTTTAAATTTTTGTTGACATGTAAATAATGATTTATGAAAAAAGTCTAATATGTCAAAACACATAAATTTGAATGTAACAAATTATTTACCTAGAATATACACAATTTTGATAAATTTTAATATGATGATATTAGTTATACAATAATAGGAATATTTTTTATAAACAAATTATAACAGTCAATTTAACATTTAACAGTGAGTTTAATATTCTCTGGGAAATAAATAAAAACTAATAACAAAACTACAGATAATATTCTATATTTGACTTAAAATGCTTTGCGCCAGAGCTCCAATTTGGTATAGGAACGAACCAGTTACTTGTATACAGAGAGTTACAAGTTGTAAATCAAATCTAAAAATTTATTTTAGTTTAAAAATGCTTATTACTATTTTTTATTTTAGGATAAACATGACCTTTAAGAAAGTAATAGTTTGACATTGACTATCTTTATGAACGCGCTATCATACATAGCGACAATTTCTCCAGTGTTTCAACGTCACTTCAGCAAAAGTTTAAATATGTCTAAATTATCTTCATTTCTCTATAAAAAAGATTACACTTTTATGTACTTAAAATGGACGATATTACAGAAATTTAACATTTGTAAAATAAGTTTTATAAGTACCTAACACAATTTATAACTACTAAATATTTGTTTATTCTTATAGTTAGAAACTATCAATCAATTAGATATTGAAAAGTTTATAAATCAATTATACTTATCAAAGTCGACGTCATTGTCTTTGCTAAGAGAAGCTAATTGTATCCGAACGTCTGCGGTCATTCTGGAGAGTACCGATCGCACAAGGATAGAAATTATTTTCATTCATTCTTTTTGAGAGAAAAGAATTAATACAAACTTAAGACAAAGAGAGAACAGAAGCACCAAAAGAATTTAAGGATGATACTGGGCCTGACATTATACGAGAAGAAATTGAATATGCAATGAAACAAGCTAAAGGTGGTAAATCTCCCGGGCCTGATGAAGTTCCTATCGAATTACTTAAAATTGTGAATACTGAATCTATTGATCTTCTTTTGGATCTATTCAATACCATATATAGAACAGGTATAATACCTAAAGAATGGCTCCAATCAACATATATACTGCTTCCCAAAAAAGCCAATGCAAAAGAGTGCAATGAACATCGCACTATAGCCTTAATGAGTCATGTCTTGAAATTGGTTTTAAAAGTAATTCACAATAGAATACATAAGAAATTAGATGAAGGCATAAGTAATACACAAATGGGATTTAGGAAAGGACTGGGAACACGAGATGCACTGTTTGCAGTAAGTGTTCTTTCGCAGAGATGCTTAGATACTAATCAGGAAGTATATGCCTGTTTCATTGATTTTGAGAAGGCATTTGACAGAGTGCAGCATAATCGACTTAAAGAAATTTTATTAAATAAAAACATAGACAGTAGAGACATTAGAATCATCTGTAACCTCTATTGGAATCAAACAGCAAAAGTGAAAGTTGAAAGCGAACTGACCAAGGATATCCAGATTCGCCGTGGGGTCCGCCAAGGGTGTATTTGATCACCCTTGTTATTCAATTTATACAGTGAAGCCATCTCAGAATTAGCGCTTGCCGAGAGCAGTGAGGGCCTTATAATAAACGGTGAGCCACTTAATAGCGTAAGATATGCTGACGACACCGTCCTTCTGGCAGGAACACTAGAAGAACTGCAACACCTTGCTGAACAACTAAATATATATTACAACGATTATGGACTAAAAATCAATTTGAGGAAAACGAAGTTCATGGTATTTACAAAAGCACAAAACATCAAAGTTAAGCTAGTACTAGATAATACAGAAATTGAACAAATATCTTCGTACAAGTACCTTGGAGCATGGATCACAGGAGATACTGATCAGACAAAAGAAATAAGATACCGCGTTGAAATTGCGTGGTCAACTTTTATTAGAATGAGAAAACTTTTTTGTAATCGCGATATCAATATATCGCTCCGGATAAGAATGCTTCGATGTTATATTTTCTCTACCCTTTTGTATGGAGTTGAAGCTTGTACACTTAAAAAATCCAACATTAAAAACCTAGAAGCATTCGAAATGTGGTGTTACCGACGTATTTTGAAAATATCATGGATGGATCGCAAAACAAACGAACAAGTTCTCGAACAACTATGAAAACAATGCGAAGTTTTAAATTCCATAAAAATCAGGAAATTGGAATACTTGAAGCACATCATGAGAGGTGAAAAGTACGAACTACTAAGGAATATAATGCAGGGTAAAATCAAAGGTAGAAGAAGCGTAGGAAGACGTAAAATCTCGTGGCTACGCAATCTCCGTGAATGGTTTGGATGCAGTTCAATTGAACTATTCAGGAGAGTAACCAATAAAATTATAATTACCAGAATGATGTCCAATCTCCGATAGGAGTGGAACTTGAAAAAGAAGAAGAAGAACCTTCAGTTTTATGCATGTAGGAATCTTACAATAACTAATTTTAATAATAATTCTATTTCATTTTATGCTTGCCATATGCTATTTATTTAATTTTTATTTTGATAAAATAATTGGCAAGGAAGTTAACCCCTTTGATATCTCGCTAATGCTGTTGTTATATTCTAGTTTATTGGGTTTATTGGAGAATTTATTGGATATGAAATATTTATTTGAATAATTTCTGAAATTATATCTAATGTTTTATGGGGCAATGGAATTTATCGAATAATTGCAGCTGCCTGTAAGGCTCTGGAGGCGGCAACAGAACCTATCCACATAATCTGAAGGCAACATAGTAGCAGGAGCAAGCAACCAAAATATGCCATAAGTATCAGTTACAAATTTATTGTAAAGCTTTAGGCAGGGTTGTTTTTGCTTTGTTTTATGTTAAATAAATATGATTAGTTAAATCATTGTTTTATTTGTTACCAAATAAATTTTCATTGTGTAATTCATAGTTTAACACGGATTCACATTTGAGAGACTGAGATAGGCGAAGCATAGACGATAAGCACCCATGATTGATTGAGTTATTATTTTATAATAGTATTTCAATTCTCTGTGGTAATCTTATCACAATTTTTTTGGCATATATAAATTTTTCTTGTTCCCGGTTGTTGGGTGAAAATTTCTGAAGCCTTGTGGTGTACCATGCATGTGATTACACATGAGATAACAGTTCCAACAGCATGACATAGCAGTATATCATGCAAAACTCAGTATTTGCTTGAAATCACAGTTATATTCTAAGAACAGAACCCATATTACATACTTGCAACAGGGCAAGATGTGTTGGATCTTTTGCGAAGAGTAAGATTTTAAAGCATGAAAACTCGGCCTAAAAACTATTAAAGACAAAACAAAGATAATGGTGGTAGACAGATTTCGTTTCTTACAACTAACAGACCGCATACATGAGTATGAGATGGTAAAAATCTTCTTAGTATACCATTTTCTTCCTATACAACTAATAGTATGATTACTAACAATGGAACTTGCGAGAAAGAGGTTTAAAGACGAATGGCTATGGCAAAAAAGTGATGAGTCGCTTAATAAATATATGGAAAGATGTATCTATCTGCCAAGAAACCAAAATGCGACTAGCAAAAACTTCTAACCACTAATAAAAAACAATATTTGTATATTGTACCAAAGAACTACAAGAATAATTCGGTTACAAGAACACCAGAAGATCGGTGTACTTGAGATGTGGTATTGGAGAAAAATATAAATATCCCAAATACCCTGGACTGCCTGACGTACAAACGGCCAACTGCCAACTTAACATTGAAACAAGACTGTCTACATCCAAGTTTTTTGGGCATGTGATTGACTAATTTACTGATTCGTAAATATTCCAGAAAGGAAAGCAGAGGGACATCCATCAACTCGTTGCCAACAGTATTAGGGAAAATCACGATCCTTAGTAATACAGTAATGTCAAAAGATATATAATAATAGGAATAATAATTTTGATGTATCTGGGCTAAGTGAATTTTGCAGTTAGAGAGAGTGAACATGGATAACTCAAATCTCTCTGGGTGTTCATAGCACCGATATCCAGAGGGTAGCAGGGCCAAGTGCCATAAAACAAAAACTGACACCTGCCAGTAGGTCTAAAGTGCACATCCAAGAAAATGGTGAATAATAATTTATGTTTAGGGTCGGTGTCTGGAGATTGCCAGGGCACGTCTGGAGCCGGCGCTGGACCTAACAGCATGCGTGTTGAGGAGGCGGGCCCTGTAATACAATCGGCAACAGTCTAACAAAATCGACACAAGTGAGCTAAATATTACCAAAAGCTCCACTGGGTGAAGATGGTGCACTGGAACATCAGTTGGCGCTCAGTTAAGTGGAACGACCGAGGCAGCACATAAAATAGTGAAAATTTACTCAACTTTCTGCGAGAATTAGAACCAGAGGACTACAAGAACTTTTTGAGAATGTATTAAGAGAGTTTTAATTATCTACTGGGGTTAGTCCGGCCCAAAATCAAAAAGTCGAATGAGACCAATTAAAAAATTACAATAATTTTAAAGGTTCAATATATCCACATTGAATTAAATAAGATAAAGAACGTAGCAGCATTTACAGAATCTGTCGCTTCATGCTCTCGCTGTGCATACGAAGTAGTAGATAAAGGACGAGAAGTATACATAGCTGATACTGAATTTAGTATTTTTCATATAAAAATGCGTGCACGTCACGATTTATACAAAGTGTCGTCACTTGTTTTTAAAATTTCCAGAACATCAACCTTAGATTTCACATTTTTTCACTAACACAGCTAATAATACGACACCCATACGGAACTGCTCGATCTTTCATAGGCGTCAACATAGTATAATAATCAGAAAAATGTAATCCTAATTAGGGAATTAATTAGATAACGAAAAACATTTATTATTATTAATAATATAAATTGTGTGAAATAACTCTTTAACTCTAATATTCCACAAAATAATAATTTTAATTAAATATATTAGACAATGGTATGCAACTGATATGGAAATACTTCCAATTTTTTGACAGTTCAGCGTGTGACAAAATTGTTTAAAGTG